GTTCACTATAGTTTACTATATAGCTATCCCTTTTCCGCTCATTCATCATCGACATTTTTCCGCTCAACTTTTCTGTATTACATTTTCGCTCCAAACCATTCATATATGAGGTGAACCTATTAATTATTTCAATGAAAAAACGATTCGATTGGTGAGTTTAGAGAAGAGAAGCGAATAGAACGGTACAGTTCCTACATCTTATCGACAAATTAAATATGAAATTTTTTTGCATCAACCGAAGCTATTCGAGAATTATCTAGTGATCAATAGTTGGTTAATTCAAGATGATCCGGTTCAGCAGTTCCCATTTACAAAAAAAAAGACTATCAATATTATTTTCCGAATGACACACGTTTCGGTTCGATTTTTCTTCGGTTCCACTTAAACTCAATCAGTATTTCAGGTTTCCCAAGAGATATCGAAACAAGATTAAATATCATTCGGAGTTCGATCAAATGTGCACTGTGTGCAACGCTTTTTCTTTTCTCTTTTTCTATTTTCTCTTCAATTTTCATGTCTTTTCGTTTTTCTTCTTATTATCATTATTGTTTTGTTAAGTTTCCAATTATCCCAACTTGAATACCATTTAAACTGTGGTTCAACTCTGCAGTGTTTTAAGTGCGCTTCGATACAAATTGTTGATGAAAAAGCCATTTTGCACAAAATACCATGTCACTCACCCGATTCATGTGATAAAACAAATGAAATGTGAATAGAACGGGCGAATCTGAATTCATTTGCACAAAATGTAAACTTTCGAATCGTTGCTTACAAAATTGATAAATGCGACAAGTATTTGTTCTGCCATGAAGTTAGATAGAGTCATCAAATCGATGGAATGCTTTCAATTTAATGATTATGATTGATAGTATGCATTAATGTAGATGTCATTTGTATTAGATGATATGCATCGATATTGAGTTGCCAATGTGCAGTGCAAAATTTTGCGAAATTTTATCAGGCTTCGAATATCAAAACTGTCCGTCATTTTAATCACCATTCAAATCAAGATTGATTCAAACTGTGCTGTGATCATTTGGTGCTTGCATTGTGCATTTGAACAAGAGTCGCCGCCAATTATTCGGCGTAATTCCCTTTTTGCATACATTTGTTTGTCTCCCAGAAACGAGAGTACAACCGCAACCCGCTAGCCAATCCCAATTGACCCATTTCAAGTGTACAATTATGAATTATGCATTTCGAGTGTCAACAAAAATAAGTCATTTTCCCATTTGTATTTGCGTGTGTAATTGCGTGAGTGTTTTTTTTTCTTTTGTGTGTGCTTCTTGATATTTTCGCCTCGAACTTGCTTCACACACACAAAAAAAATTCCAAATGCATTATGTGTATCGTCTTATTTATTCTTATTTGCTTTCTGTGTTAAATATACATCATTTGCGTTTGGTTGTTGTTTCAACGTAAGCTAAATTATGCGTTATATGTTCGTTCGTCTTATTGACATTGGTGTTGTGCCAGGTTTGTTTTCTTGTTATTGATCTTTCTTTTGTGTACACAGTGTATAGTTCTTATTGATGTATGTGAATTTGTGCTTTTCGTCGTCGTCGTTGTTGTTATTGTTGTTCTTTCCAATGGCACGTAGAAAGAGTGTTGTTGCATTTAACTCCATTATAATCGTTTCCACAATTCCACACTTACTTACTTGTTCAATTTTGCCACCGAGATTAATCATCAACGATGGATTTTTTTTCTCAAGATGAGCATTTTTACCTTTTTATAGAGTTGAACACAGTGTGAGCATGTTTTAGTTTTTCTTTGGAGTGCGCGTACGTGCGCGTGTGCGTACATTTTGTCTTGTCGAAACGATTTCACGATCATATTTCTCATTGTGGTCGCCTTTTTTCGGGTGACTTTTTATGCGTTGCTGCTGCTTCTGCTGTTCTTTTTTTTGGTCATTTACATTTACATAGCATCTCGCAAGCGACAAAATCAAAATGGAAAAAGATACAATGATGAGGTAGTCACTCGTTTCGGGCTCATCAGCATCCTTCAGGTATTTTTGCGTTCGGTGTAATTAAGTTCTTTCATTCGGTTTGATGTGCATTCATTCATTTGAACTGTTGTTTCAAAGCGAGCGTGCGCGTGAGCGCATGCATGAGATGGTTTTGGTTGTGCAATGGTGTGCGTGCGCATATTGTGGCAAAAGTGAGATTGCATTTTGGGTTCCAAAAAGGAAAGGACGATGTGCGGGCTCGTAAAAAAGCATTAAATTGTACAAAATTGCATTCAGCTGGCCAATTCCATCCATATTCCCTGTCTCTACCTCTGTTACCTCTCTTGAGCAAATGTGCAGAAGGTTGCACGTGAAACTTGTTCAAATAACTCTGTTTCGTCGAACACAAATGGAGCACCATTTACGTTGAATCCTTTATTACTCGTGGCTCTGTGGCCTGTTGCCATCGAAAACGGCTGAGCCTCTCAAGCTCGTTTTGATTTTTCATTCGTGGGTATTTATTTTGTTTTTGTTTTTGTTTTTGTTGTTGCCCGTCTTTTGCGCTTATGCGCTCCAACCGACCGATTTATTTTATCTAAAAAAACAATGTATTGTGATCTCAATAATTTACAACAAGAAAACGCGTCGTACATTCGCGTTGGGCTACTGAATATTTCGGTGGATGCCACAACATATTCTCGCTTTCACATCAATTTTCGTGTCGCGCTTGTGTGTATCATTCTTTGCTGTTCACTGCACTGTTCTCTGCTGTTTTTTTTGTGTTCTGCTTTTGGCTCTGATTTAATTTCTTTATTTTCCATGCCGTCAACGGAACGAAGACGAACGAACAAAAAAAAAAATTGAACTGAAAACTACATACATGTGGCTCAATTAGGCTCTCCACTCGCGAGAGTCAACAGCAACAACACACATGCGTATACATATCCGAGTAGCATACATCTATACACTGCATATCTCTCGCTGTCGAATGGATAGCAAGCATATGAAGAAAATCAAACCAAAACATAATCATCATTATAGCGTTGTTCATTGCCTCTGCCGGAATGTTCTCATTTCATGTTCTCATCCGTTGCATCTCGTACGCTGTTCTCTCTCTCGCTCTCTGGGTTCGTTCATTCGTTCGGGTTTTCGGGACTCAATTGAACTGACTGCGCACCACGCCAAAAAAGTCAGTTTGTATTTCAATTCCGGCTGCATACTCAAAGCAAATCACTCTCGGCTTATCTTTATTTCGGCTATATAATTCATTTACGTCTCGAGTACGCGAAAGGAATCAGGAGACCTAGAAAAGAGTTCGAACGATTATCCATTAATTGGGATAAACATCAACAAAAAAAATTCCAATTATTGACAACTTAATGCTTGAGACACATCCCCATCGTATCAATTTCAAATCGGATTTAGTTTTATTTTTCATTTCATGGTCATGATGATTAAAGCCACTGATACCATACGATTGGACATTTAAATTTCAGTTGACATTTTCATTGTTTTGTTGCAGCACACATCAGTTTCCAGTTTTGATGGACTTGATCGATTGATCTGATTTGGTTGTCCCGTGGCTGATGAAGGGCATTCTTTCAGCGATTGACGTGTTAATAAACAAACTGAGCGCAGTGAATAAGTAGCATGCGAAATATGGTGTGGGTGTTATGAAGCATAATCGCTTAATCACCCAAACAAATCTCTCAAAAGAAATACCTTTCTATTTTCAATAGATGCGTTGACTATGATTAAGTTGTTCGGTCTGTCGTTCATTTGATGATATGTGTATCAACACGGAAAATCGCATTCTGCGTCGTGCGTGAAAAAAACGAGTGAAAACTCTCTAGCACGTTCTAGTTCTTTTTTTCTCTTCTCTGTTCGTTCGATTCATTTCATTTTATTCTCTGCTGCTGCTGCTGCTGCTGCTGCTGCTGATTTTCTCTCATTTTGCTCGGTTGTGGCTGAGACATGAGTCTTGCATTTAACACCCAATAACATTTTGATCGAAACCGATTTGCCTGGTATTGGTTTTGGTTGTGGTATCACAGTGCTGCTCACATTCGTGTACAGGAATTCAATGCCTGACAATGAGGCAAAAGAGCATGCATACACAGACACAAACGAGAGATGTGCACAACAAAATAATGGTCAATCGTATGTGATCGATTCAATGGTGATTAGTTACGAAAACACCGAGAATGTCGCTTTGAATATGGTCTTTTTCGGGCGATTTTCTTATGTTCACATAGAATTGGACAAAAAAATGCATGAACATTTTTTGTGTATAGAATCTGGTAGTTTGCATGATTTAAAATGACATAGTTTCATGAACACAGATGAAGTCATTTGAACACGATCCAGGTATTTTCGGGTTTGAAAGCCCCAAAACCCAAGTTATTCAGCTTGGTATCGATCGATGCACGGACCGAAGAAGAGGCGAACGATGGAAAAGCCGAAAACGAGAGAGAGAGAGAGAGAGAGAGAGAGAGCGGTGCGGAGAGCGCACCCGCACACCAGCCAAATCGATATGCGAAAGACAAGAACAGAACGACTGATCAGTTTTGTTGAACGAAGATCGTGTGCCATTAGGCAGTGAACGTAAGACGAGAGCAGGTCTACGGGCAATAACAACTTGAGCAGACGCACACCAAGACACTCGGCATTCGTACGAATATGAGAAACGGATAAAATAAGCGAGTGAGCAGCATTGTTGGTATGTAACAGACAAGGACCATTGACACTAACACCGCTACGCATGCATCTGTGACTGTTCGACGGCAACAAAACATCTACACCGACAACAATCCAAATGGGATGGAATGATATACGAACAAATGAGAAAAGGCAAATACGAAGCTGAAGAGAGAAAAAAACGAATGAAAAACACATACACAAACACACACTCAACACACAACCGTCTAAAAATATTCATAATGTCTTATTCACTTGCTAGTTAAGATGTTAAAAGTAAACCAAAACATAATAATAATAAAACACATTTTCCTGTTATGCGTTTAGTATGAAGTTGTTATATCGCCGAGAGTGGAAGCATCGCGCGCAGCCGATAATTTTTCTGTATGCACACTGCTTTTCGGATACATACAATTTTTTTCTTTCTTTTGCTTTTCGTGAAGAGAAGAACTCTCAAATCATTTTGGACTCAATAATATTTTGTTTTGTGAAATTTTTTATGTCACTTCGATTTTTTTGTGCGAAAAAAAAAGACAAATAAAATGAAAAAAGTGAAAAAATAGACATTTATCAACAGAAAACGAGAAATAAATTTTTGTTCTTGTGTGATTTGAAACAGAAAAGACTGAGCAACGGGTTTAAACCAAAAGAAAACGTCGATTGCGTGAATGAAGGGCGAAAACGGAAATTTGTTGCCATAAAATGAACTCAGCGATTGCAAGAATGCATGAAAAAAAATTTAATTAACTCAATTAGTGAAGGAGTAAATGACATATAGCCGTGTGTTTGAATCAAGTCAACTGTGTGCATCGCTTATGTGCTATCATCATTTCATTTTTTTTCTTCTGTGAACAAAAAATTCGCGTTGTGACAGTGCCTTTTTTTATATTGCTGCAGCAATAGTCGATTTCAACCGTCAATAATGCAGCAACAAATGTAATTGCTTGCATTCGGTTTGGTTTTTGGTGAAAAAAAAAGAGAGCGAACGAAATCCTGCGTAAAATAATAACATTTCACAGATGAATTAGCTACTAATTTCACAATTACACATTTTTTTCGAATCGTACGAAACGGGGGATTTGGTTTTTGTTTTTTTTTTCACAATACGAAAATAGTTTTGTTGTGTGCATTTTAATATACACACAGCGCGAGTGAAATTGAAGCGCATCCAAAAAGCAAATGTGCGTATCCTTTGTAGACGGCTCATTTCTTCACGTATGCGATAAAAAGACATATTTTGAGGCGACAGCAACGACAACAAAACGCAAAAAAAAAACACGAACATCGACTGAGAGACAACGAGTGAGCGAGAGAATCAGTTTGGGGTGGAGAGACAATAAGAGCGAATGAAGAAAAAATAAAGCTCCGTAATTCATAAGCATATATTCGCATATCGAAGCAACATAGTCGAAGTTAAAACAAGCCAAAACACACGTTCACTACACACCACCGATGTTATTCATTTAATAACTTAATATTTCCTACGAGGATTATTAATTGAGACAGAGAGATAGAGACTTATTTCACGTGTAGACACGAGCAAACGGACACATTCTTTATCTCGGTTCTTTCATATTCTTGTGCGCGCGCGAGAAACAACAACAACAACAACGTCGACAACGACGACGACGACGACCGCGGCGACAAAGTGTTATATGTTCTTGTGTATGGATCAAAAGCGGTTTACGGTTTGAATCTGGCGTGGTTCTTTTCCGTTTCGGTTGTGTGTATTTTTTTGTGCTTTTTCTCTTAATTTCGACGGTATTTTTTTTGTTCCTTCGTCTTCAGAAGTTGTTGTTATTGCATGGTGTGTTGAACATTCGACCAATGCTATAATTTGCTTTGTCGTCTCATTCGAACACTCGTATATGTGCATCGACTCAATCGATGAAACAATATACAATCGGCCGCTTTCTAGAGGATTCAATTAATTTTTTGATTCAAGTCAATATTTTATGCTGCCATTTCGGTTCGAACGTGCAATCAAAACTTATCGAATCATATGCACGGCCAGTATAAGACAACCAAACGACTATTGTAGAAAATATACCTTGGCGTCGTCGTGAAATACACATACACACATTTTCCTGTAGAAAAAGAAGTGAAGAATTCATGACACATCAGAAAGAAAAAAAAATTATGCCAAAACCATAAGTACCTATTTGAAAAGTGAATTGGAAAAACTTGTTCGGTATAAATGTGCCTTATTGTCCTGACTCTTAGCAAATGCCTAGCCAAATGTAGAAAGTGCATTTGTGCACAACCAGCAAAACAGATAAAGTGATTCATCATTCTGAGAATGACAATGTGATATCAAAACAAACGGAAACCGAAAAAAAAACTCGGCAAAAAAGGTAGTGGAAAAAAAACACACACACACACACACACCAAAAGAAAATTCAATTGCGACCTATTGCATATATCGAACCGATAGACTGAATATGTAATTTTTGTACAATCTTTTAAGTACACTCTCTGAATAAGCAAAATAGAAAGAAAAAGAAGAAAAACAAAACAACGAAAAGAGTGAAAGCCAAAAAAAAAGCATTATCATCGATCGACAACAATTCCAAAATCGAACACACACACACATAGAAAAATAAATAAAAAAAGATATGCCATTGTCGATTGCTTGATGAATCCGAGTAGATTCAGTACAACGAATAATCTTTTATGTGCTTAGTATGTTACCAACTGGACCAGCATCTGCACAGCAACCACCGCTAATTGATGGTCAGCCGTTGCATCGGTACGAATTTCATCACAATTTTTCTTACCCTGAAAAATGGGTTCGATTTGCGTCGAATTGTAAATGGATATTTGCAGACATTTCAGACACAATTCAGATTTTTCAAACCAAATTCAAATGTTTCTAAATAAAATCCATTCATATTTCGATCAAATAAACAATTTGCGTTGCTATTGTTGCTTACGACTAATTTTTTATTCCGTTTTCTTCGTCTTCAAAATATAGTCCTTACGCAATGGGAAGTCACAACCAATTACCACATTTACACCATCATTCACCGCCATCGCTGCAGACACATGATTCATCGGGTGCCCGCTATCTCTGGGATCCGTCGGCCGTGGGTGCATCCAATTTTCATCATCCGTCGGCACATGGGTAAGTTATTCCACACCATTCGAAAAAAAAACGGAAAAAATTCATTGAACAGTGTTTAACGAGCAATAATCAATGTCACCAAATGCAAGGAAAACGTTATTAATGACACAGAAAAAGTGAAGAAAATACCCAAACAAACGGGAAGAACTGTGTGTTGCCGCACTTTGAGTTATTGAAAGTTATGTCGCACTTGGTTCTCTTTCGATCTCATCTATACGCGAGCGCGCCCGCTCTCTCCTAATCCACCACTCATTTTCGTCGCTTTCTGTCTTGTATTTCTCTCTTTGTGTTCGCTTTTCTTTGCGTTGCTTGATCCTTTTGTCGGTTTCATTAACGGATAAATTTTTCGGAACATTGAACAATGTTTGTGGTTATTCATGCCTATAAAACATCTCATTGAAAAACATGTTGTGTTGTAACCGGAGAAACCAATCAATTCGGAAAATGCCTGTTACTTGATACAAAAGACCAAGAACCGATTAATTGTGTTTAGACTGTCTGTCCGCTTGCTCGGGGGAGAGAGACAGCGATTGACGTTAGATTTTCAATATTCCAATAGAATCACTGTCGCTTTGTTTCGCAGACGGTTGGTTGTAATTGGCGAGACCCGAAAATATGTCATTGACACAATCACTCATATTTCGATTGAAGAAAGACGAGACGTGTTTACGACAATCTTCAAAATGTTGATCAGTTTTTTTTAAAGAAAATAACTCAATTTTTTTTTTTTGGCGAAGCATCCATTGAATTGACATTCCAGTTTAGGTTTCGCATAGAATTTGATTTCGTACAGAAGAAGAAGGAGGGGGAAAAATGCACCAAGAATGATCAAGATGTTATTTTTAGATCGAGTCATTACAGTTTTGTGCGCTTGAGTGCATGTGTGTATGAAGAAGAGAAAAATTGCCCATAAAATGTTTTTATGAACAATTCCTTTTTTTCTCTCTTGTGCTGGACGAGAAGGAGTTGTGTGTGTGTGTGTGTGTGCGTTCAGAGTTAATTATGTTGTTTTTTAAGTCGTTGAAACAGCCTTTTGAAATCTGCACGAAACAAATTTCGATGTGAACTAAATGATCGGCCATTAAATTGCATTACTGTTGAACCGTTAACTGAGACCGACCAATGGTGAATCCATTTTTTTTTTCAACCATTTCGTTCTTAGTTTTTTTTTCTTTCAATCTTTTTTTTTTACAACAACGACACTTTGCATATACTCCTTTTCAACCATATCAATTTACTTTAGCCTTCGCTCAAGTGTTATTTGATTTAAATTGCAACAAAATATAGGGAATGAAAAAAAAACCGTTCATTTTTATTGTGGTCCCAAACGAAACGCGTGCGTCTTCATTATCACGACAGTAAATTTTGATAAAAAATTTTTATGGCAAACATTAATTGAAACGCAACAAAATGATATTCGCCAAATGGTATTTCTACTTCATCAGAAAGATATACAAGAATGTTGCACAAACACAACCCAAAAACAAATTATCATTATTATCGACCGATTCGATAGAAATTTTTTAAAAAGCGCATAAACATGTCCAATTTTTCAATTATCTCAGCAAATTTCAACTCGAAAGTCGATCCAACACTGACTCTTAGAAGGATTATCAAGAAGAAATCTAATCAAATACGAATTTAAGCACAACCGATTATGCATTAAGTGGGAATCTAATGTGACTGCTGAACCAAAATTAGAGCAGACAATTTATGTGTCTGTAAAACGAAACGAAACGAAACAAACAATCCTTTCTCCAGGCTAACAAGTGAAAATAAGTAGGGAACAAAACGAACAAACGAAATAAAAACCGAGTGTAGTGAAGCTTATTTTAATAATTGTTCAATGAATGGATTTGAATATGAATTAAAGAGTAAATGAGTCCAAATCCAAATCCAAAGAATCAAAAATCTAAATGAGGTAAAAAAATTTTAAACCGAATATACAATAAACATTATTGACCATTTTGTTAAGGAGATGAGACACACACACACACACAGAGAGAGAGAGAGGGGCAGAAGGAAGGGAAAAAAATACTGACTAAACGACAATGTACGCAAACGAAACGACTTGTTTTTTTCTGCTTCTTTCGAACGACTTGCTTCTCTTACAATGATGGAGCCATTCGTCGTATTTTTTGTGCGTCTAATTCTAAGAAGTGCATGCAAAGAACCACTTAAAAGAATCACACACTCACACACAAGACTACAATGAAACGGGAGAAAGAGGAGAAAGGGAAGGAAAAGCGCAAGAGAGCTATTGTTTATGCACAAACCGAATAAGAGGGAGATGGAGAGCCGGTTCGGTTTGAATGAAAAAGAGAGATAGAGAATAGAGTCAGCGTGTACACGAGACGGACGACAAATGAAATACAAAACTGTTTCTACTGAAAATTTAAGAAAAAAAGAATCTAAAGAGAAAAAAAAAGCAAAACACACAGAGGAAAAATGCGACGTTTAACATTTCAATAAAACTCATGAACATTCACTTGGCAAAGCGCGCTTGCATACAGCCCAGCATAATAATAACGTTATATTTATTTGTCTGTCATTAAAAAAAAAATGAGAACCAAATGTGGTGAATAAGTGTAGCGAGAGTCGGAGCAAGAAAGACACAGAGAGAGAAAGAGAGAGAGACAGAGAGGCAGCGAAATCGTGTGCAACATTGAGCGGCACATTCAACGATAATCATAATGAAGTGGACGAAATGTGTAAAATAAAAGATCCAAAGCGCGCACTTAATCGGCACCATGCAACTTATTCTTTCTCTTATTCATTTTTCTTTTCTCGCTCGTTTTTTTTTCTGTTTGCTTTGCTGTTTATTCCATAACAGCGAGAAGTTTGCACGCAGCACATAGCTTTGAGCATGTGTCATAAAACGCACAAATTTATAAGAAGTTTTTCGTTTTGCAGCTCACATTATATTATTATCCCGTTGCCGTGCCGATCTTTCGTCACTCGTATCAAATGTCAACCATTGCACGATCGGATTCGATTTTTCGCGTTAGTCATTGGTGCTGCTGCTGCTGCTGTAGCGATATTCCGATCGGTTTGCGCTAATGTAACAATTTTCAGCGTTCTATGCGATCAACATAATAGTCGATTTTTGAATATGTGTATCGTAAATAAACAATTTCGAAGTGAGAATGTGGGGGGACATTGCTTCGAGAAAGAAGAAAAACATTCAACACCCAATGCACAACTGCGACGTACACGACGCAGTGCACGCGAAAGGTAATAAAGAAAAAGTTTGTGCAGCATTCAATGTGACCACATTTAAATGGCCAACATTTAGCCAATCGTATTTATCATCCCGAACTGAAGGCGATTTAGATCGATTAAAAATAAAGGAAAAAAACTTTAAAAAATTTCAATTTGATAAATGCAAACCGTACACATGTGCGCTGCGATTGTGATACATGCCGAAAAAATGTCATCGATTCCGTTATACACCTTGGGTTCTTTGTTCTATGGCCGCTTGTTCGCAGTGCATAATAATCAAGTGGCACCCTGAGATCAAAGACACGTTGAAATCCCCCTTCGAATACGAAAGAAACGTGATAGAATCTCATTTGGCCTCTCTGAATGAAACTGTATCGCATTCTCTCAACGCACAAACACACACACTGAAACCGGGCTATGGCGAATCACATCTCATGTTGCGATTTTTTCCCTCTCTCACATGTCGTTGTTGTTCATGTTTTTTTTTTCGCTATGACGACGTCAACTTCTGTGATTGTTCGCACATCTGTATTCGATTTGTTTTAATTGAATAATTCGTTGGCTTTTGCACCGCTTGGCATTTTTGCGAGAAGAATCGAGTCGTATTACTTTTGCGCCTAGTCTAAATCATCGCGCACATTCGTCCAAATGAGAGAACGGAGAGGAAGAGAGCATATGCCTCAATACGCCTTATGGCTTCGGGCATGTGAATTGATTTATAAAATGTGTTAAATGAAGGCTCGTGTACAAAAATAACGGCTTTATCGTTGTTGTGATTTTATTTCCTTCTATGCCGAGCTATGTGCTGTGGTATAGCTAGCGCATGCTGATTTGTGTGACTGGCGAATCGATCAATTGCGATACATACATATACATTCTATGTGAGTTGCCATCGTCAACTGAACCATTTCGTTGAAATCAGTCGTCTTTATTTACTTTGCCACAAGTCTCATTAAGGCTGACTGAATGCATCACGCCGGCAAACAAGAGGAGAAAAAGAAAACAACACACACACACGAGACAAATAGGAAAGTACCATGTAGCCGGCGACATAAACGCGTGTAATGCCGAAATGTATAACAAGCAAAATAATGGCGTTAGAGAATTTGCGCGCGGTGCGCAATTGGGATTGAAGAGAAGTCATTTCACACACACACACACACACACCACAACAAACAGCAACAATCACAGGAGACATAATTACAGAGCATTTAGGGCAACTTATATAATCCATAATAACTGCTAATTATTTTGTTAAATCATAGTAATGATGCTTGTGTGTTTGTAACTGGACTCGCACGATCGAAATACGTGTACGCGTTGAAACTTAGAGTTTGTTGATTGGCAGCCCTTTCTTGCCATGCCCAGCACAAAAAATTATATTTCCGACTAAAAAAAACACACAACTCTTTTGCACTGAGCCACAAATCGCTCATTTTCTTTCGTACCCACCACATTAATCTACTGAAATAGCCACTGAAATAGCCTGTGAAAATTGCACTCTTGTTTCGATTGACGTTTTAATTTTCCACACTGTGCAAATAGACCAACTAAGAATGGCAACTAATACACTATCAAACCAAAGTGTAAACGGGGCAAAAGAGGTAGAGAGAGAGAGAGATAGAGCGAGCGAGCGAGCGAGAGCGAGAGAGAACTTCGAATGTATTTTATAAATATCCAACATATTCTGACGTCGACAATCATGGCGTTGACAACGACGGTACGATATTTAACCAGTGCCAATCGTGCATCCTATTTATACATGCCTCTTGCAATCT